GTATTCTCTTCCCTTGTTATTTCCCTTATCATTATTATTAATGGTTGCAGCAGTAGTAATTTGTGTTATACCTTAGTTACTGGACTTCTCATCTCAAACCGTGGGAGTTACATCTTTTTTTTTATTCTCCTACCCATCCCTCTGGGAGTGTGTGTGGGGGGAGGTATGGTGACTGAGCTGCATGGCTGACTGGGCTTAAACCACAACACTAGTTGACCTCAATAAAACACTATGATTATGCTATGCCAGTGCTTACAAAGCAAAGTACCCAAAGAGACTTAGGACATTACTTTAGCGCACTGCTCTGATAGAAGCAGTGAATCATAGAATCAACTAGGTTGGAAAACACCGGTAAGATCGTCAAGTCCAACCATTACCCCAGGACTGCCAAGACCACCAGTAAACCATGTCACCAAGGGCCTCATCTACACAGTTTCTGAACACTTCCAGGAATGATGATTCCACCACTTTCCTGGGAAACCTGTTCCAATGCCTGAGCACCCTGTCTGTGAAACAATTTTTCCTAATATCCAATCTAAACCTCGTCTGGTGCAGCTTGAAGTCATTACCTCTTGTCCTATGGCTTGTTACTTGGGAGAAGAGACCAACCCCCACCTCACTCCTTTTCAGTAGTTGTAGAGTGCAATAAGGTCCCCCCTGAGCCTTCTCTTCTCCAGGTTAAACAACCCAATTGTCTCAGCCATTCCTCATAAGACTTGTGCTGCAGACCCTTCACTGGACCTGCTCCAGCACCTCAATGTCTTTCCTGTAGTGAGGGGCCCAGAACTAAACACAATACTCGAGGTGCGACATCACCAGTGTCAAGTACAGGGGGATTATAACTACCCTAGTCCTGCTGGCTATGCCATTTCTGATACAGGCCAGGATGACATTGGCCTTCTTGGCTGCCTGGGCACACTGCTGGCTCATGTTCAGCTGGCTGTCAATCAACACCCCCAGGTCCCTTTCAGCCAAGCAGCTTTCCAGCCACTCTTGGAGCACTGCATAGGGTTACTGACACAAATGCAGGACCTAGCACTTTGCCTTATTGAACCTCATACCACTGGCCACAGCCCATTGATCTAACCTGTCCAGATCCTTCTGCAGAGCCTTCCTATCCTCTAGCAGATCAACACTCCCACCCAACCTGATGTCATCTGCAAACATACTAAGGGTGTACTCAATCCCCTCATCCAGATCATCACAAAAGATATTAAACAACACTTGCCCTAACACCAAGCCCTGAGGGACACCACTAGTAACCAGTCGACAACTAGATGTGACACCATTTACCACCACTCTTTGGGCTCAGTCATCCAGTTTCCAACCCAATGAAGTATCCTCCTGTCCAGGCCATGAGAAGCCAGTTTCTCCAGGGGAACGCTGTGGGACACAATGTCAAATACTTTAACTAAAGTCCAAATAGACAATATCTACAGGCTCTCCCTCATCAACCAGATGGGTCACCTTGTAATAAAAGGACATCAGGTTTGGTCAAGCAGGACCTGACCTTCATGAATCCGTGCTGACTGTGCCTGATCCCATGGTTTTCCCACATGTGTTTTATGATCTCATTTAGTCTCAACTGCTCCATGACCTTCCCTAGCACTGAGGGCAGGTTGACAGGTTCCTCCTTCCTGCTGTTTTTGCAGAGAGCAAAATGCGAATTCTGCATTGCCCAACCTCCAGTCTTCTGGGACCCACTCACTAGATCACAACTGCTGACAGATGACAGAGAACGGCTTAGCAAGCTCCTCCACCAGCTCCTTCAGCACTCTTGGGTATAACCCATTCAGCCCCATAGACTTGCATATGTCTAAGTGGAGCAGGAGGTCACTAACCATTTCTTCCTGAATTACGGGGACTTCAATCAGCTCCCCATCTCTGTCATCCAACTCAAGGAACTGAGTACCCTGAGGATTGCTGGTGTGACTGTTAAAGACTGAGGCAAATACGGCATTAAGTACCTCAGCCTTTTCCTCATTCTCAGTCACTAGGTTTCCCCTAGTATCCAGTAGAGGATGAAGGTTCTCCTTGGCCCTCTTTTTATTGCTAATATATTTAAAAAAGTACTTTTTATGATCTTTTATGGCACTGGCCAAATTTAGTTCCATCTGTGCCTTCGCCTTTCTAACTTTCTCTCTACATGACCTAACAACATCCTTATACTTCTCATGGGGTAACTGTCCTTTCTTCCAGAGGTGATAATTTTCTCATTCCCCCCCCCCCCCCCCAAGTTCCAGCACTATCTCCTTGTTCAGCCAGGCTGGTCTTCTTCCCCCACCAGTTGGCACATAGGGAGTGCCTGCTCCTGCACCTTAAGGATTTCATTCTTCAAGAGCATCCAGTTTTCCTGGACCCCTTTGTCCTTCAATGCTTCCTAAGGTATTCTGCCAACCAATGTCCTGAACAGGCCAAAGTCAGCCCTCTAAAAGTCAAAGGTAGAGGTTTTGCTGACCTTCCTCCTGACTTTTCCAAGGATTGAAAATTCAATCATTTTATGATTGCTTTGCGTAAGATGGCCTCCAACCGTCATACCACCCACCAGTCCTTCTCTGTCTGTGAACAGCAAATCTAGACAGGAGTCTCCCCTAGCTGGCTCACTAACCAGCTGGGTCAGGAAGTTATCTTCAACACCCTCTAAGAACCTCCTGGATTATTTCTTTGCTGTATTGTACTTACAGCAGACACCTGGTAGGTTGAAGTCCCCCATGAGAACAAGGGCAAGCGATCATGAAACTTTCCCAGTTGTTTGAAGCTTCATCTGTAGCTTCATCCTGGCTGGGTGGTCTATAAGAGACTACTACCAGGATATCTGCTTGGTTGACTTTTGCCCTGATCATCACCCACAAACATTCATCCTTCTCACTCACAATACTGAGTTCAAGGAAGTCAACACATTCACTGACTCCTGGCTATCAATGTGTACAAGCTTTAATCAAAGACTGGTTTTAAATATAATCTTTAAAACATTTACTCTGAATTATACTAACACATGCTTAGAAAGCATCAGAAAGCATCGCATCCTTTGCGCCTTGAGCATTAACCCTTAAATTAAAGCTTAGATATGCGGTTCCCCAGATCATTTGTATTTCTTGGGCACATCTAAAATGTTACTTTCACTTTATATCATTTAAAAACCCCAAACCAAAAAACAAAGCACACCACCACCAAACCCCCCCACAATAAAATATAAGCTATTTTCATTGCTGGGGGTACTCTGGATAACTGAGGCTGGGAGATGCTGAACTGAACATTTGTGTTAGGAGAGAACAGAAACATGATGTCTTGTAGTTCAGTATCACACTTCAGTTCATGATTCTATTACTAAAAAAAAAAAAGGTAATAGCAAAAAACCTGCTCCTTTTAACAACAAAAAATCCCACACTTCCGTTTGTGCTATTGTCATCACAAGAGCAAATTAATCTGTGACAAAAGAACAGCAACACAAAGAGATTCGGCAAATGTTAACTCCAGTTTTATATCCCATGATCTGTAGAGCTATTTAAGATACTGACAAGGAGATACAAAGGACGCCAATAACCCATTAAAAATAAATAAATAAATAAAATTAATAAATCCCATACTATGTTTTTTCACTATACAATGCCTATTCTAACATAACTAGTTCAAGTCTTTTTAACAAGACTCCTGAATTGATACCTTATACCGAACTACATCCTAAAATGAAAGAAAAGGCACTAGATCACTTCGCAAGCATAATACAGTATTTCTTCTCTGCCAGTACTTCGGTGCACCCAGCCCCCTCCCCCAAAGAGATACACGCATTCCAGTCAAGCCTCTCCCAGCAGGTCTCAGTCAGTTCTCCCCCTCCATCCCTCCTTCCAAACCTTGCTAGATTCTCAAACTCCCTCTGATTTTCGGTTTCATTTTGTTGTAAACAGCAAAACGAAAGGTGAAAGCCTCCAAAGAGAGGATCCTTACCTTTGAAATCCCGCCATGCGCACAATAAGGGTGATGATTTTTTTAAATTTTTTTTTATAGGAGACAGGGGAAGAAACAAAAGCCTAAAATGGAGGAGAGGCTAAGCGGCAGAGACAGAAGGAGAAAGAGGAGAGCCTAGTGAAGGAGCATTGCAAGCGCCAGCCATGCTGTGTGGGTTGGTCCAGTATTTACAAACCTGCAGCCGCAGCGGCGTTTTGAGTCTGAGAAAAAGGGGAAAGAAAGGAGAGGAGGGAGGAGAGGGAATAGAGGAAGGAGGGGAAAGCAGCAGCAGCAGACAAAGGAACCCAGCAAAGCGCGCGCATATACACACGCACTCCGAGTACCCTAGACAGCAGTAATAGCGTGCGTAACCGCAGCGCTGCCAGCCCAGTGCGTTAGCAACTCTCAGCTCCAGTCTCTGGCTATTGCGGTGCAGTCGCGCCCCGCCACCGCTCTCGCATCCTCCCCACCCCATTTTCTCGGGAGGGGAGGGGACGGATGACAGGGCAGAGGCATATCTCCGCTTCTCCCAACATGCATTATCGAAAGGCTTATCTGCTGGGAGCCCCTCGGCGGGCCTCAACCCACAGTACAATAGTTCCACAGAGAGAAGCAGAAGTGCACCTGCGACCCCTCCCTTCAGCAAGGGACTATATGGAGGTGGGGTAGATATCGAGAGGGACCGTGCCAAAGGCAGGCAGCAGTACCCCGGAGCCCGGCAGAATAGAGGTTACTAAGGAGCCAGGGCGCTATGTGGGAAGGGAAAATAGAAACGGCAACACAAGCCCGAAGGTCCCCACTCTCCTCCGCCTCTCGCAGCTTGCGGACGGGCCCGAGGTAGGCAACGAAGAAAAGATAATTGAGACAGAACGCTGCAAGCACATAATTAACGTCAGCCTCGGGGGAGGGAAGGGAAAGCTAGGAGCAGCAGCTCCAAGCTCATTCCACAGCGCCTCCCTCCGACTGTACTCGGTACTAAGCTAAGCCAAACCAAGCCAAGGGCGGTGCGACAGACTACGCTTCCCTCCCCCCTCCCGCCCGCATTCGTTACTCACCTGCTGGGGGGATGGGCGCCTGGGAGTACCACGAGAACGGTCTAGAAGCGTTAGCGATGCAGCTTGCAACAGTCCTCTCGTATCACTAGGTCACTCAGATTCTCTGCGGCAGTACTAGATACAGCTGCTCCCGTCGTCTCGTTTGTCCTACTTAGCCATTACCACTGCTGTCTCCTGTTCGCCTCTGCCATATTTAGATCTCCGTACACGAGCTCCACCCCCGGGATAGAACCCTTCTCACCTTCCTGCCAAATAGTGAGCTTACCGCATCGAGACGTTCAACACACAGAGCCGGACACCGCCCTCCTCCCCTACACCAACGCGCAAGCGCACTGCAAATTCCGAACTGCGACAAGAGCGCAGGAAACGATCCTCCACCCAATCCACCGCTACTTAGTAGCGCGCAAGCGCGCTCGTAGTTGATGCCACTCCTCCACTGGCGTCTTCTGGTGTTCCGTCGGTGGTTGTAATGGGGGGTGGTGTGGGGTTGTCCGTAGATGACTGACAACTGGCCGTAGTCCAAAAGCAAGCCTAGGGTAGTGAACGTCTGCTTTTCCCTTCCTGTTCACTTTTTCCCTCACGATACGCTCACTGACATACAATGCTAATTTACTGAGGGTGCACTCGATCCCCTCATCCAGATTGTCAATACAGATATTAAATAAGACTGGCCTGTCATGAAACAGTCTTTAGGGTGGCTAAAAGAATCACTGTCAGAGATATTAGCAAAAGTAATTTTAATAGAAATTTATGAATGTGTGATTCAGCAGAGTTTGATGACAAGGTTGAAGCGCAGAATCAGACTCTACAACTCAGAGAGTTATAAAGCAGGTATGTTTATTATGGTGCCGGGTGCAAGGTGGATTGCTTCTCCTAACTTGCACACAGAGGGTGATATAAGAAAAGTTGTGCCTGGAAAACATAGAGTTAAAGCACTTTTTAGCTTAACTTAGGTTGTAGAAAGAACGATGTTTATGTTGTGTGTGGAATGTAGTGGCCCCACTAAACATGAGTTAACCGTTTCACACTAGTCTTCTAAAGTATCTTTAGTTTTAAAGAACAGTGTGTTGTAAGTCTGTGGTGAGGTAACAGGATTTAGTGGTGTGATAAACACATAAATGTATTGGCTTTCACAAATCATAAGTGTGGTTATGTGGATATAACTGTACCAGTTTACAGTAACAGAAACAAACCTCATTAAAGACACAAGATTAGACAGCAAGTTTAAAAGGGCCAGAACTCTTGAGCAAAACAGAGTCACATTGTTATAAATAGTGGATCAAATAAATTGACTAGAGCCAGGCCAATGAATCAAATCAGTTTATTGAGCAAGCGACAGCAAGCAAAACAGCGCTGGGTGGCCGGGGAGTCTCTGCTCCGCCAACGGCACACACCCCATTCCCCCAAAGTCACTGATTTTATACTCTTCTTTATCCAGTGTACGTGCTACTCTTGGCGTACTCTGCCTCTGTGTGGCCCGTTGATAAGGGGTCTCATTCGGCCTCCCAATGGGTGTGGGGAGAAAGCTCCTTATCTCCTTCAGAGTCTCATTCGGCCTCCCGGTGGGTGTGGTGAGGTAGGCTCTTTATCTTCTTTTCCATACATAGTTTACTTTTAACAGATGCTCGCAGTCTATAAGCCAAATTTCAACGTGTCGAAGTTTTCCAGTAACCTTTAAGCAAGTCAAGTAACTCTTAAACGAACAATTAATTTTTAAGCAAACAAGATTTGATTAACAAACAGGAATTCACTCATCACAACATAGCAAAAGAATTTGTAAAGGTAAAAGAAGGGGCGGGCTTGATATAAGAAAAGCTAGTGCCTGAAAAACAGAGTTAAAGCACTTTTTAGCTTAACTTAGGTTGTATAAAGACCAATGTTTATCTTGTAAGTCTGTGGAATGTATTGGCCCCACTAAACATGAGTTAATTGTTTCACACTAGTCTTCTAAAGTATCTTTAGTTTTAAAGATCAATGTTTATGTTGTAAGTCTGTGGTGAGATAACAGGATTTAGTGGCCCCACTAAACATGAATGAGTTATTTCACACCATCCTTCTACTTATCAGTTAGTTTAGAGACAGATCCTCCCAAACATCTGCTAGCTTGGGATACTCCTTTTCTGCCCATCCTGCAATAAATCTTTGCTAGTTATCAGAAGAATTACAGATATAGCTGGTTTCAGCTAGTTGTGTGATTGCTGGGCACCCAACTGTGCCAAAAGTGAAAAGTACACTGTGAGGAAGATTGCTTACTTCATCTTGAAGACCCCTCCTCACAAGACTGCTTACTTCATGCTCAACACCCCTGCCCACAATCACCAGGGAGCAGTGCACAGATGCCAAGAGGAGGGGACTTACGATAATAGGTTCCTGAAGCTAGTTATAATATTCCCTGCCTATACGCGGGAATTATGAATATGTATGTGACTAATGCAATAGTGAAGGTATATAAACCTGTAATGAATACTAATCACTTGCGCCTCTGGCTACGGTCATGTGCCCAGTGCTGTTGCTTTTGCTTTATTGACTTTGTCCCTCAATAAAAACTTTTTATCTTGTTTAGAGCAGTGAGTTCGTATTTCACAGAGGGGTTAAGCAAGCGGATATTTATTACACACAAACATGCATATTCGTTAGGTTGCCAAGAGTTTGGAGGGGATATTACAATTAGTTTAGTTACTCATTATCATAAGTCTCCTCCCTTTTGGCGCTTGCTCACTGCCCTCCGATGGTCGTGGGCAGGGGTCTTCAAGATGAAGTAAGCAATCTTCTTCAGGGTGCACTTTTCACCTTTGGCACAGTTGGATGCCCCAGTAATCACAAATTAGCTGAAACCAACCATATCTGAAAGTTTCTGATAGCTGGCAAAGATTTAGAACAGTGTGACCTTCGTAACAGGATAGGGCAGACAAGGAGTAGCCTAAGCTAGCAGATGTTCTGGAGTCACTGTCTCCAAACTAACTGATAATTAGAAGGATAGTCACTCATTAGAAGGATGCAAAGAAATAATTCACTCTTGTTAGTAAGACTACTAAATTCTGTTATCACACCACAGCCTTAGAACACAAACATTCTCTACCTTAGACCTAAGTTAAATATCTTAACCCTATGTTTTCCAGGCACTTGCTTTCCTTATATCAAGGTCCTCTCTATTACATACAAAAAAAGATTCTGTCACAACTGGAAAATTTTTATACAGGATTGTGTTAAAGTGATTTTTACAGAATTGAATTGAAATAATGTGTATAGAAACTGAAAATGCAAAGGAATAAGGGAAACCTTTCTGTTGAGTCATGAGGTTCAGAGGAGACCATCCTCGCTTTCTAAACTCTTGACAGAGCCTAGGATCTGGTCTGGATCAGAGCCTAGGACAGAGCTGGATCTAGTCCTAGTCTCAGACTTGGACAATGGTTTATGTCAAATGGAATTTAAAAGGAAATCGAGGTAGAGGGATTGAAGGTGAAAAGGATAAGGGAAATCCTCCTGTTGAGTTATGAGGTTCAGATTGGATCCCCTTGCTTTCTAAACTTCCTCTCTAGAGTCTAGGTGCAGCTGAATCTAGACTTATTCTCAGACCTGGTCAATGGTATTCGTCTAAAGGATTACAAATGTAATTTAGCAGCATTTTGTATTTTTTAAAGTGAATCACAGGAGTTCTAACAACACTTGATTATTGAAGCTAATATACATGCACTTTAAAATTAAGTATCTAAACTAACATGACACATTAAGATGGAGATATATGGATATATAGATGTATATACATATATACGCATACGTATGTTAAAAATTTCCCTCAGGTGCAGTGAAAAGTAATAGTACAATATGTCAGCTTTCTCAGCAGTCCTCACCAGGCAAAGGGCTGAGTTTCAGTCAGCAACAGTAACAGCACAGGCAAATGGTTCCCCTAAAAAAAACCCACAAAACTTGAGAGTTTACAGACTCTGAGAGTTGTTTCACTCAGAGAGAGATAACTGGTTGCAGCTCACTTCAGTCCAGGAGAGCTCAAAGGGTCTCTCTCTTGGGACCACTATTTATAGGGTTGTAAGATGATTGGCTGTAGTCAGTAGTAAATTTTCATCCTGGCCTCAATTCCACGTTGGTTGTTTCAGGTTGTCAGGGAATGATTTATCATCCTAAAAGAACTCCTGGTATGATCAGGGAGTATCTGAGTGCCCCTTCCCACCTTTGCTAGGTAATTAGAGCTCATGGTACAGCCAGGGAGCACCCAGTTGTCCAACTCCTTGCATCTGTGCAAAGGCTGGGGCCTAACAGGAATTCTTGGAGAAGCAGAGGGGTCCAAGAGAGAGGGGGCAGTGTACCACCACATGTCCCCAATACTGAGCCCTGGGGGACCCACTAGTGACTGGTTGCCAAGTAGATGTGACACCATTCACCATGTTTCTGTCATCAATTTCTTCAAAGTTATTAGGCATCAGTAATTCATGTTTCTCTTAGATATGGATTCTTCAGTTAAGGAAACCTCTGTTCTCGCAAAATACCATCTTAGTTGATCACTTGTCCTTAGCAGGTGTCTTGGGTCTCCAGATGATGCAGCAATTATATGCTAATAATGTTCTTAGATCCTAATTACTGTGTGGTCTCAATAATTTTTATCACACTAGAAATGAAAATACAGATTTAGACAAAATGATAATAAGATGTGCTGTCACCAAATCAGTCTTATCACTTTTTTCACATTATTCAAGGATATAACTTTGAGCTGTTCATAGCTTTAGATTGACAAAGAACAACATGGAAAACATCAGTAAGTAAGATTATATTCTTCTCTGTCAAATCAAGTAATTGTTTCAAAAATCAAACCAGGTGAACAGCTGAGGCACAGTCTGCCTTAACATATCTAATGGGTGTTTTTTTCAAATTAGACCTTGGCAGGTATAGCATAACATGATACAGCATGACCTTTTTCTGTTGCAATATCATAAGACAAAGAAACTTCAGTGCATGAAAAGAGCCATGAAGAACTGATTATTTGAGTCAAGAAGAATTTGATTGAAGGCCATCATATCGTGAAACCAAAATGCAACTTAACCTAAAAGCTG